CATATTTTTATATACCTTTTTAAAAGATTTATGTATTTATTTATTTGACAGAGAAAGCCAGCCAGCACAGACAGGGGGCGCAGCAGAGGGAGAGGGAGAAGCAGGCTCCCCGCTGAGCAGGGAGCCTGATGCGGGGCTCGATCCTAGCACGCCGGGATCCTGAACCTAAGCTGAAGGCAGATGCTTAACCGACTGAGCCACCCAGGAGCCCCATGTTTTTATATAAATTAAACAAAATTATGATTTAATGTGTTATTTGAAACAGTACAATTATAGTCTTTATAACAGCATTTACTCTTCTTTATAGCAACACCACCACAGAAAGATCTCTGTAATAACATTCATAATGTTAGCACTGTTTATTTCTTTTTTTAAAAAACATTTTATTTATTTGACAGAGATCACAGTAGGCAGAACAGCAGGCAGAGAGAGAGAGAGAGAGAGAGGGAAGCAGGTTCCCTGTTGAGCAGAGAGACCGATGTGGGGCTTGATCCCAGGACCCTGAGATCATGACCTGAGCCAAAGGCAGAGGCTTAACCCACTGAGCCACCCAGGCGCCCCAGCACTGTTTATTTCTAACAGAATTTGAGGTGATTGCTTGTGCCTTCTTTTTGAAACCTTTTTTTTTTCTTCCTGCCTTCCTTAAAGCCCTTATAACAAGAGTGAAAGATTTTTACACATTATAAATGTGAAGGAATTTTTCTTACAAAGAAAAATTACACACAGATCCCTTGATTCTTTTCTAGAAATCGAACAAATGACATCAAACTTTCCATCACATAAGCCTCATTGGAGGTACGGAGAAAGGGTCAATGTGTGGTGCGGCAGAGAATACAGAATTTATCTAAACATGTGATCTAGTCTGTTATCTGATCTTTTAGGAGTCTTTCCGCTTTTCCTTAAGCCGTGCCAGATCTGTAGGAGGCAGAGGGAAATCACAGCCCCTTCAACAGCAGATCTGAGACAGGATGTAGTTATCTCTACTTTTCTACCAGCAATTCCTCTAATCCTAGGATTGTTACAGAATGTTTGAAACAAGACAGTGCACCTAACTAATCATTACATGAAAGGCATGGAATAGGGTAGTAGGGGTTATACATTATAGGATACTCCCTTGAATATGGTCTCCTGAAACCAAATTCACAATATTCTTTTCAGTAAAACAGAAAAAAAAAATCACCTAAGCCGTTTCTCTTTCTGGTCTTTTAGCCAGTCCCTTGTTTGTCTGGCTTTTAATAGCATCTATGCCAGTGCGATGAACTCACTTGAAAGTCTGATTTAAAGCCTAAAAATGAGGGCACTCGGGTAGCTCAGTGGGTGAAAGCCTCTGCCTTTGGCGCGGGTCGTGATCTCAGGGTCCTGGGATCAAGCCTACATGGGACTCTGCTCAGCAGGGAGCCTGCTTCCTCCTCTCTCTCTACCTGCCTCTCTTGTGATCTCTGTCTGTCAAATAAATAAATAAATAAATAATCTTCACCCCCCCCCAAAAAAATAAATAAAGCCTAAACATGAACTTTACAACAGAGGCTCCTTTTCACTTGTACTTTTGAAGAATAAATAAATTTCAATCATGTAGTTAAGTGGTTTTATGTGGGCAATGATGTCTCAAAACTGGCCTAGTTCTGGGAAACAATTCTTAAAACCCAACTTCAGTATTTCCTGGGTGAGACCAAAGGTACGGACTCTAGCAGAGCTCCTTGGGACTAGAGCATTTTCAGAGGACTTACACAGGTTGAACACACAAAAAAATAATTGGGCCAGAGAATGCATTTTGAATCATCAGCTTATGAAACAAAGAGCTTTGAATGTCCATTTGTTTTCAACGTGCTCTCAGATTAACCCTTTAAAGGGAAAAGTTTCTAGTCAATATATTAAAAAAAAAAAATTCTAAAGGGGAAAAAATCTACTAAATCTTATTAGGAACAATATTGATATTTTAAAAATAAGACCATAGGGACACCTGTGTGGCACAGTGGGTTAAGCATCTGCTTTCAGCTCAGGTTATGATCTTGGGGTCCTGGGATTGAGTTGGGGGGGGTGGTCCCTGCTCAGCGGGGAGTCTGATTCTCCCTCTCCCTCAGCCCCTGCCCCCTGCTTGTGCTCTCTCTCAAATAAATAAATGAAATCTTTGAAAAAAAAAAACACCAAAAAAAACCAAGACTAGATCCTAGTGTTTTTAGAATGACATTTTATATACTGTTTTGATAGTCATTACCATTTTATTTTTTTGCATATGTAATTATTTATTTTGAATAAAAAGGCAGTTATCTATCTCCCTATCAGAGACACAACAAACATTATCTCCTACATTGATTATACACCCTCTGACGTGAAATAGTCTTTGAATCTCTCAGTTTCCATTTCCTCTTCTACAAAATTGGGATTGCAAGTCCTACTCTACCAATTGGAATTGTGTGAAAACAAATTAATTAAAATTATACATAGAGAAATACTTTATGAACTACAACCGAATTTACATAAGCATTTTTTCGTTTGAATTTTAGTAGATACAGACTTCTGTTCTGGTTGTCATTGGGTTGTCTGAGGAGGAACTTACTAGAACATATTTACAGATAGTGTAATTTAAAAAGATGAGAGCTCTTAGTTCATCGTTTACAATCTCTATAATAATTTGGAATAAAAAGTAGATCATAATTACATGCTACTTCAGTGAATGCATTTGACCACATTCTCATGATGTGTTTTTAACCCTCTCCTTAAACATATCCCCTCAAAAATCTATGTGTACCTTTCACCTAATTATATCAGTCTCTTTCATTAGAAAACTCTTCCTTATATTAAAACAAAATCTATGCTCCAAAATTTCCACCAGCCACCCTAATTCTTCTTTGTGGTATTGCTAAGAATGAATAAAATCCTTTTTTTCTACATTGACCTTAATATATCCAAAGCAGAACTTTCCATTTCTTCTTCAAATATGTTCCCCACAGCACATACATCACTGTTTTCTCTTTCCTCTTCTTTTTCCCTTATCACCTCTCTGAGATGCCATCAACCAACGAGTCCAGCGTGTGCCACCATGAGAAGGTAACCTTCTTTTTTTTTTTAATATTTTATTTATTTATTTGATAGAGATTCCAAGTAGTCAGAGAGGCAGGCAGGGAGAGAGAGGAGGAAGCAGGCTCCCTGTTGAGCAGAAAGCCCGATGTAGAACTTGATCCCAGGACCCTGGGATCATGACCTGAGCTGAAGGCAGAGGCTTTAACCCACTGAGCCACCAGGCGCCCCAGAAGGTAACCTTCTTGTAACTGTTTCTCATTAGCTCGACTGCCACCCCCTTGGTCCCAGGCACATTCGCCTCACAACACAACACAACTCAACCTCGCCATCACAACAGTCTCCTGGTTGGTATTTATTTTCCCAGTCTGGTCCTCCTAGAATCATTTTTCAATTCAGTAGCCAAATCAACCTTGTTTCTATCCTACAATGGCTTCTTTGCACTTAGGACCCAAAGTCTTTATGTCACTTATAAAGTCCCATGTGACCTTTATGTTGCCTATAACATCCCTCCTGCTGTCAGACCTCCTCACTTAACTCTCTACCATATTTCACTCTGTTCCAGCCAAACTCACCTTCTTGCTCTTCTTTGAACATGCTACCTTCATACCCACCCTAAGGTCATTACACTGGCTTTTTGGAAAGAGTGTACCTTGTATCTTTCCATGGCTGGCTCCTCATCACTTAGGTCTCTACTCAAATATCACCTCCTGCCATGGATCAAATGTTTGTGCCCCAAATTCATATGTTGAAATCTTAACACTCAGGTGATGGTATTAGGAGCTAGGGTCTTATCCCCTCATGGGATTAGCACCCTCATAAAAGCAGCTTGAGAAATCTCCCTCCCCCACTCTGCCCCATGAGGTTACAGTTAGAAGATGGCCATCTGTGAGCAAGTGAGTCCTCACCAGACGCTGAATCTGCTGGCGCCTTGATCTTGGACTTTCCAGCCTCCAGAACTGTGAGCAATAAATTTCTGTTGTTTATCAGTTACTCTGTCTGTGGTATTATGTGACAGCAGCCTGGACAGACCAAGACACCTTCCCAGAGAAGAGTTTACCACCCAACTGACAACAGCTACACACTTTCTTCACTGTTGCAATTATTTTCATAACATTTACTAATACCTGAAATTTTATATTTATACTGTTTATTACCCCTCTCCCACTCCAGAATATAATCCCAAGAGGGCAGAAATAATATAGATCTTGTTTATTATTTTATCTTAAGTAGTTTCTATGATGTGCGATTGTCTGCAATGAGACAGTGAGAGAAGGTAGTAGGCCTGAGAATTCCTTACTTAGAAATGCCTGTTTCGAAGGCTGGCCTTTGGCTGGTGTCAGCAAACCTAAGTAGTAAACAATTTCCTATTCTGATATAAAACTTTCTCTAAATGAAGAGTGACTCATTGTGCCTTGACTATTTGTACAAATAATGCAATTTGTGTTGAACATCTGCTTTCCTTCTAGGAGTCTAGATTTTAGTACTTACTAGGCAGAGGACACCTATGTAACCAGCTCTCAATAAAAACTCTGGGAACTGAGTCTCTAATGAGTATCTCTCATTAACAACCCTTCATGCATGTCGTCATCCTTTGATGCTAGTAGCATTAAGTACATTCCATGTGATTCCTCAAAAGAGGTCTCTTAGACACTTGCTTTGTGTTTTCTCTAGACTTAGCCCATGTGCCTTTTCCTTTTGTTAATTTTGCTTTGTATTCTTTCTCTGTAATAAATATTAGCCATGAGTACAATAATAGCCTGACTCCTTTAGGTCCTCTTAGAAAAATCACCGAACCTCGTGGGAGTCTCAGGGACCCTGGACATACCAAGCAAGAAGCTAACCTCTCACCCCAGCTAAAAATAATCAAAGAGAATAAGACTTAAAAGAATTCCATAACGTGGTGATAAATCCAATATGAAAATGAATCCCATCCTTCTCTGAGGTATACTACCCCACTATGAAATCCATTTGGTACTTACGTGACTGGCCTATAGATCTCCTTAACACCAATGAACTGAAGTTGTTCCATAATGTCTGGAATACTGGCACACCGAGTAAGATTAATTCTTGGGTAATAAAGAAGGTATGAGAGACACATTTCATTTCTGGTGCTTAATCCTCCCTGAAAATGAAGATATTTTATTTAGAGAAGTGTATGTTCCACCAACTCTGACACTTAGAGCACACAAGCCACCAATGTCATACAATTCCCTCCAATATTGAAATGTGATAAGTCTGAAACTGAGCAATAATAATCTGAGTGACAATTTGATTTTTAAAGAGGTAGAGACACATTGAAAAATTAATAGAATGATGTCCATCTCTTTAAAAGTTTCCTTTTTTAAACAACCTAATAATCTCTTTCAAGTTTTGTTCATTTGATGAAAACTATTTGCCACAGTGAACATTTGAAAGGATTATGGGGATGTTTGGTTAACATGATACCAATCAGTCAGGTCAATGGAATCGTTCCTTGGCTGCACTGAATTTTCTATAATCTTGTTGTCATGTATAAACATAAGAAGACACATACCACAGAGAAGATAGATTTCAAATTTCAAATCAAGGCGATAAATTAGATATTGAAAGTAAAAAGATTAAAGCTCCTCAGGAGAACACAATCTAGAACTATTACATGTTACAGGGTTGAATTTTCAACCAGAAGTTATTAAACATAAAAAGAAATAGGAAACTATGATCTGTACTCTGAAAATAATAAAGTTACCAGCAGAAACTGATTGTGAGAAGCTACAGATACTGCATTTAGCAAAAAGTTAAAAACAGATAAAAATATGTTTAAAAAGTTAAAGATGCTCAAGTAATTAAAGGCAAAGACATCAAAAATAAGTAAACAAATAGAGAATGACACCAGAGAAAGGAAAACATAAGAACAAAGAAAATAGAAATTCTAAGGTTAGATATTACCATCATTGAATAAAAAATTCTCAGGATGAGTTTAACAACAGATTTGAGATGGCAGAAGAATCAATGACCTTGAAGACAGAACAATAGAAATTTTCCAATCCAAAGAACAGAGAAAGAAAAGAAAAACAAAACAAAACAAAAAACTAAAAAAAGTGAAAATATTCCAGAAAATACTTCAAAATATGGTATTAAATGTTCCAACAGATCTGTAATTAGATTTCCAGAAGGAAAAGGAAGAGAGAAAAGGGTAGGAAAAAAATACTTGAAAGAATAATGGCTGAAATCTTTGCAAATTTAGTGAAAAACATTTACAGACCCAAGAAGCTCAACAAATACCAAAGATAAATTTGAAGAGAGCCATACCTAGACACATCATAGTCATATAGCGGAAAGCCAAAGACAAAGAGAAAATCTTGAAAGCAACAAGAAAAAAATGACACATCACATGTAGGGGACCAATGATATGAATGGTAGCCGACATTTCATCATAAGTGATGGAAGTAAAAAAGAGATATTGGGATTACAGATTCATGGGCTGCAGGGAAAAGTAAATTAACCAAGAATTCTGCATCCAGCAAATCATCTGCTCTTCAAAAAGTGAAGGTGGAAAACTTGGCAGTATTGTTCATAGTTCTAAATTAATGCAGCAGCTAAAATGCAATGATTTTACAAATTGCAAAACACAAGTTTTGCAGGATTAAGCAAAGGGAGAAGCTAATCTACAAATGAGGTTACAAGTGATGCTTCATTAAAAATCGTATTTAATTTATCCTTCAGCTGGCTATTCAGAGTGGTACTAAATTGTAGGAAGGGAGCCCGGCATTTGTATCCTCCCACGAACCAGTCACTACAGCTGGCTGCCCCACTGTGGGGAGCATGACTTCAGGTGGGGCATTTCCTGATACCAAAGGCAATGCCCAGTGAATGACACGGTTGTGAGTTATCATCAGATACTTTCAGTTTAGCTGTGCTGGCTTTGAAGAGGCCACCAAAATATCCACTAAAATAATAATGTATGATGTCTGTAGTAAAATATTTCATGCAAACAAAATCACATATAAGGCACAAAACAAAGCCAACACCTGTGGACTGACTGCACCCTCTGTGCTCATTTTTAATTCTCCTCTTCCCCATCCTAACTGAAGATGAGGATTATCTCACCACTTGATTAATCATTCTATTGTCTTTCAAACCCTTTACTTTCCATTTACTGACATACATAGGCATCCCTACATCCACTTACATTTTGTACGTTCTACAACTTTAGGTACCCCCTGGGGTCTGCTTAACTTGTCCTTTTTTTTTTTTTTTTTTAAAGATTTCGTTTACTTATTTGACAGACGGAGATCACAAGTAGACAGAGAAGCAGGCAGAGAGAGAGGAGGAAGCAGGCTCCCTGTTGATCAGAGAGCCCGATGTGGGGCTCGATCCCAGGACCCTGGGATCATGACCTGAGCCGAAGGCAGAGGCTTTAACCCACTGAGCCACCCAGGCGCCCCTTAACTTGTCCTTTTTATTCTTCTGATACATTCATGTTAACATGCATGGCTTTCACTCATTAATTTTCACAAATATACAGTGTAAATATATTCTATGGACATATTATATTGTATTTATTTGTCATTTTTTTGATAAACAGTTGGGCTGTTTCCAGCTTTGTGTTCCTGTGTTGTCACACGCTACCACAAATATTTTATATATTTCTCTCCAGGAACACTTCCTGCAAAAAGAAACTTAAGGTGAAATCCACAGAGGAATGGAACTGGGTAGAGCATCTGTGAATCTAGAGCTTTGCCGGATGATGTCATGCTTTTCCCCACGGTGGTTTTATAAATTTACATTTAGCTATATGCAAGGACTCCAGTTTTAGAACATTGGAATTGCAATTTTAAATATTGCCAACCTGATGGGTATAAAATATCTCATTCTGGTTTATATGTGCACGATTCTGATTTCAAATGAGATTGAGCATCCTTTCCTGTGTTTAATATCTATTTGGGCCTTTATTTCTGTGAAATGGTTTCTATCTACTGTTTTATTTTCTATGATCTATTTGTCTTACATTACTGATTTATGAATTTTTCTTTATATGCTGGATATTAATGTTTTATTAATCTATGTAATACTTTTTTTTTTCAATTTAAAACTTGTCTTTTCACTTATTTAATAGTGGTTCTTGGTAACCAAAAGATTTCAAGTAGTTAAACTCATCAGTCTTTTAAAGTTTGTGCTTTTTATGTTTCAAGTTTTTTAACTACTCTCAACAACATAAAAATATATTCATATATTTTTCTCCCAATAGTTTTAAGATTTTGTTTTTCACATTTAAATATTTAATTTAAATACCTGAAATTGGCTTGTTTGTGTATTGTATACCCAGTTGTGCTAGTATTCTTTAGTGGAAAGTCCATTCTTTCCCACCTAAATGGATATTGTGTCTGTTCTAAACCAAGTTTGCATATAGGGGGTTTGTAGGCTAGTCTCCAGGATTCCTATTATGTAACTATTCTAACTCTGGACCCAAAGACACTACTGATCACCATAGCTTTAAAATAAGCCTTCACATCCAGCAGATTGTCTCCATCTTTTACTTTATAGTAGTGTCTTGCCTGTTATTAACCCTTTGCTCGTCTATGTAGATTTCAGAATCTACTTGTTCCATATAAAAGCTAAAACTGAAAAATTTTTAGAAATATGAAAAAAATTAGAGAAAATCTTCACAGCTATGGCTAGGCAAGGATTTCTTAATTAGGATATGGGAATCTCAAATCATAAAATCTCTCTGATTTTTTTTACTGAAAATATATCAAATTAATAGGCCAATTTGAATAGAAGGATTATCTTTATCTTATGGAGACCTCTTCATTTCTTTAAGTTTAGTATAAAGTTTTGTAAATAAGGATTTATAATTTTTTTCCCATGGAGATCAAACACATCTAATATTAGATTTTATTTCTATAGAACTTTGAGTTTTAAAATGCATTTCCTTAAGATAGTTTCTTATATACTAAAGTATAGTTAATTTGGGGGCACCTGGGTGGCTCAGTGGGTTAAGCCTCTGCCTTCGGCTCAGATCATGATCCCAGGGTCCTGGGATCAAGCCCCGAATCAGGCTCTCTGCTCAGCAGGGAGCCTGTTTCTCCCTCTCTCTGTCTGCTTCTCTGCCTGCTTGTGATCTCTGTCAAACAAATAAATTAAGAAAAAATGTGTGTGTGTGTGTGTGTGTGTGTGTGTGTGTGTAGTTAATTTTAGATATCAGTTTTGAGGGGGTTTTAATGTAGAAAATTATAATATCTTTGAATAATGTGTTTTGCTTCTTTGCTTCTTCTTTTCTGATCCATAGGACTTATTTTTTTTTCCTTTCCTAGTACAATGTTGAATGGAAATGATGATAATAAACATCTTTGTCTTCCTCCTGATATTAAACCAATACTTCTAATATTCAAGTGGTTTGATATTTGCTACAGATTTTTCATAACTAAGCTTTATCTGGTTAAGGAAATTCTCTCTTATTCCTGGTTCGTAAAATGTTCTTTTTTTATGACTGTCATAAATCTTATGAAGGTTTTTTCCTATCCCTATTGACATGATCATATGTCTTTTTCCTTCAATCTCCTAATGTAGAATAGTATTATTAATATATTTTCTATCTTAAACCAATTTACATTCTTTAGCTAAACCCAAATTGGTCCTAACATTACATTTTTATATAATACAGAATTTGGTTTGCCAATATTCCCTCAAAGGTATTTCCATCAGGTGCATGTTGTTGACCTCTTGAATACTATCACTATCAAGTTTTAATATGAAGATTATGCTAACTTCATAAAATGAGTTGGTAGGAGGTATTTCCTGGGAGAGACTACGTAAGGCATGAAGGGTCTACTTCTTGAGTGTTTGTCAGGATTCCTCAGTAAATCTGTTGGGACCAAATTTCTTTTTGGGTCAGAAGCCCTAAAGTCATACAATTCATTCTTCTTTTTGAAGTCTTGATTCATCTAAGTCGGTACTCAAGCAGATGGTCATTTGCGACCACAGGTCTTTAATACAATTTGCTGAGGAAAAACTAAAAGACGAGGATAGCTTTTCATGAAAGGGTCAATAAACTATAATGCAAATATTGCCATAGAATCATTAATCTGATAAAATGCTAAAATAACTCTCATTTCACTCTTACAATGTTTCATGCTCAAGACATTCTGGAATTTTGCCCCAAATGGGAATGCTTTTTGCTTTTTCTCTTCTAAAATCAAAGTTTATTCCTCCTTCTCCACAAATGGATTTTAATAACAATAAAAATTTTCTTACCCAAGTCATCCGGGCTCTATCTTTTGTGTTGTAACGACACTCGGTAATTAGGTTATCTCCCTAAAACATAAAAATAAAAGCTTTCAGATTTGGGTTTTAGGCTGTTTTATTTATCTATTTGTAGGCCAATAGTTTTATTTGCTATTTGAGTCGGTTCATTAAGAAATTTGATCCAGAGGAAACTTGATCTACTGAATTCTAAGACTGCTAGTATAATAAACAAGCAAACCAACAAGATTCTCTCAGGCCAGACTCCAGCATGTTCTAGCTGTATGACCTTAGGTAAGAAAAAGAATTATCTGGGCACAATTTATTTATTTAAGCAATAATTTTGTAAAATAGCTGTTATTTTGCACAGCTGTGAAGAGATTAAACGACAAAACATGCATTTAGTTCTTAGTGCAAATGGAACACTTCATAAATGTTAGTCATAGAAACTAGTTACATAAATGTTAGTCATAGATACTAGTTACTGCGATTCCCTCTTCATTTATATTCTTTTCTTTAAAGGTCTTTAGTCACATCTTTATTTCCTCACAACAGACTTGTGAAGCAAAGTAACAGTTATTGTTCCAATGTTTTCTAACCTTTTGAACAATTCTGCATACACAGAAAATAATTTTTTGATGGCTCACCACTCAGAAAGATGGACAGGCTATTCATGGACCAGAGGCAGCTTGCGCTGGGTGCTGGTCCCTAGATTTGATCTCCCTGGCCCACTACTCCAAAGGCCCACGATCAGTATCTCAACACACTGTCCTCCCACACTGCTCTTCCATAACCCCAACGATTGTTGCAAGCTGGATAATTAGCTCTGTCTGAAACCTGTGTTAAATGAAAGAATTATCCTTATCTTTATTTTTACCGAAATCAAACTTCCCCAAACTCTCCTATGGTATTTAAGAAAAAAACAAAACCACAGACACAAACAAAAACAAAAACACCCTCTTATTTTTGCATTTCCAGAATTGCAACCCAAAGGTTTACTGGAAAGTCAAGTAAGAAAAGAGTAATGTTTGGTACTCAGAACCCGAATTTTTCTTCTCTTTTTAAATCAACTTGAGTTGCCCCTGGGAATGGTAAGAAAAGTGAGTTTTGATTTTGGAAATCAGATCAAACACATTCCATCTGGGTTGTGCAACACCCACAGTGGGTGGCTTCAAGAATGTGAGCACGATGAGCAATTCACTTTACTGGTAGAAACCTTGCTAAATCGCAGTAGAGAGATGCCTTGACTTCTCTAAGATACAGTGAAAAAGAACAAAACATTCATACTGGTAAGATTGTTTGTTCTTCCCTTAGATACTGAAACTCCTGGAAATTGAAGTCAAAATCATCATCATAAGCCAGGAGTCTCATTTCCTCCCCTTTGCGAAAATGACGGAGCCTGATGCCCCTGCCAGCCAGGTGAGCGTGGAGAAGAACAGCAAACACATGGATTCCACTTGGCTTCTCAGCTTCCAGAGCCTACAGGCGGGGCAAGCAGAGGAAGACACAATTAGCCCAAATAAGCACATGTTCAGACAGTTCACCATAAAAGAACTTGGAGGGACAACTGAGAAGAAAATCTAAAGCAATTTGAGTGAATGCTTGAGCAGCCAAACATTTTGAATTTGGATTTTTCATGACTTGCTCCTAGCAGTGTTATCTTTGTGAAGTAACATTTGCGGTCAAAAAGGAAAGGGAACTAACGCTTACTGAGGACCTATCAGATCACCCCTAAACGTTATCTTTCTTTTCAGAGGTAAAGAGTCAATCAAAGTCATCTTGACAAAAAGATTCCAGCATGTTAGTAACCTGTAAGTAGAAACTCTTAAAAGGAAAAATGATTCCCACTTTCTGAGATAAGAAAACCAGGTGGAAGAGTGGAATTATATGAATTGCCCTTGGTTCCACGGCTAGTACACGATGTCATGGCAATTTGAATCATGGTGTAAATACCTCAAAGGGCATAATCCTTCCATTTCATCAGTCTGCCATCTGTCTATAATACAGTAGCTTATAATTTGTAAAGAATATGATCTAAGTTAAAACATGTTCATTTAAGAAAAAATAACTGTAAACAGATGTAGCCATTATTAAATATTTTTACATGGTTTTCCTGACCCAATATGGATTTTTATATTAAGTACTCCTGCTCTTTGGTTTAAGTAGGAAGGAAACTGTGAAGCAAAGAGGAAAAAAAAAAACTGAAAATGAATAATGGAAAAAACAAATCTGGATAAAAGGTGAAATTGAGAAATGAAAAAGTGACCACATTGAACCAAGGTAGAAATTGTAAGAGATAAAATAAAGTGTCAAATATTTAAAAAAAAAAAAAGTAGGTCAGGAAGGAAACCATCCTGGAAGGTATTTTTGTCCAGAATTCTACTCTTACAGCTTTCAAGATTTAAAAAAGCAATCAAAGGTCTTGCTACAATGATAAGTAATGGCTTTAGAGCATGACAACAAGAATAAGATGAATAATAATAAGCATGGGATTCCCCAAACATAGTTTTCCAAGAACACTGATGAATCAATAAATAGCAGCTCACAGACTTCATTCTCCACATACCTCTTCTAGGCATTCCAGAGTGCAGTGACCCTCAGACCGGAATTCAGGCATCCCTGGAGGGATGGTGTGGAAGAGGCTTACCCAGAGGCCAGCCTCGATCACCCCAGCATCGTACTTCCTTATGTCTGCTGTATGAAATAACCTCAGTCCAGAATTATCTATTAAGCCTGGAATAAGAGCATATAATTAAAAGCAAGTTTGAGTTCTCAAAAAAGGAAGTTCTCTACATTCAGTTGAATGGATTTGTGAATTTTCCTTAAAACCTCACAAAGGAAAGAATTACAAGTAAAGATTAATGGAAGACAACATTCAGGTTTACAAACAACAGTTAAGGGGCGCCTTGGCTCAGGTCATGATCCCAGGGTCCAGGGATCGAGCTCCACATCAGGCTCCCAACTCAGTGGGGAGCCTGCTTCTTCCTCTGTCTACTGCTCCATCTGCTTTTGCTCTGTCTCTCTCTGTCAAATAAATAAATAAAATCTTAAAAAAAAAAACCACAGGAATGAAAACATAAGTTGTCATATTGTCTGCAACCATTTTTTACTTATACAGTATACCATGGGAGAAATGTTTGTGTTGTCTAGCTGACAATATTCCACAATGATCTAACATAAAGACAGACAGAAGGAAAATTCTAGTCATTCATTAGAATATAGACTAACCCAACAAAACTTTATTTTATATTGTTTTCAGGTAAAGTTCAGTAACATTTCTGTAGACGTAAAACCCCTTTGGTCTAGAGACCACCTGCTGACAGAATAAACTACTGTTGATTAATTTTCTTTATAGTTTGCCACCATTCTTTTAATCACTTAACAAAATAGTCATTCAATCAACAAAAAATACTAAGAATCTATTCTGTGACTAGAAAGCACAACAATAGGCATGTGAGGATGAAAGATGAGTAAGATACATTCCTTCCTGAGACAGTTATCATAAGGAGGGAGAGAATGAGACCCAAACCCTTCATAAATTTGTTCCACTGACTTTGAAAACTAACTGACTCCTTTCTGCAGGGCTGACTTACTTACCTGTCATTACCAAATTGACACTTCGGAACCATTGGCATATACATAATTTTATATTAATTGCTGTGATTATTTTTATTGTCTCTCTTTCTTACTACACTATAATTTCCACCTGGTTTGGTGTGTTTTTCACTCGCATTTAAGCACAGAGCAGAGACATAGTTGGTACTCAGTTTTTGCTGAATAATTGCACAAATCAGTGTAAAATAATAACTTTGAGTTACTTCTGTTGAGAACTTCTTATTGAATCTTCAGACTTTCTGGTTTTGGAATATTAAATAAATAGGTTTAGAAAACTAGATTCAGAAATCAAATGTAAGTATAAGCCCTCTTCACTTAAATATCATATTAAATAATATCATTGCATAAATATTTCATGAGCATATTTATTGTTTTCCTACCACATAACAAAATATTAATATTTTCTAGTGTGATGATTGGTAGCCTTTCATATGTACAGTCAGAAAATGTTTCATAAGCACTATGTTTTGGGAACTAATTTATATCACAAAGAGAAAAATCTATTATCCTACTTCTTGGAAAGTGAGATGCACTTTTTTTTAAGATCAGTGACCACACGTATCCATTTTGCCCAGTTCATGGCTCGTTGATCACTGTTGTCCCAGTGTAATTTTTAAGAGTATCCTCATTTGCTCTAAAAAGTATCCTAATTTGGATGACAAACATATAGGTTAATTCCTTGTAATATTGGGCGGCAGTATATTTCAACCCTGTTAAGATGGGAGTTACAGAACTTTTAAAAATCATAGATAAAACATATAAAGAATAAACTCACCCTCCTTATAAGTCGGATTGTCATAATGGACCTCCAGGAGCACATAACGAGGATCTAACGGAGTGCCAAGGGATAATCCAACATGAGGTGGATAGGAAAAACCCTAAGTAAGGAAAATTCCGTAAGACATGCCCTATAAAAGTCCCTAAATGTTCTTTTCCACTCAAAAACCAACCATCCTCAAAGATATTTCAACATTCTGGAACTCCACGATCTAGAGTGGATATAACAAAATGGCTTAAGGAGAGAATCGCTTCCAATGGAAGGAAAAATAAGCCATCCTCCTATCAGAGATAATGTACAGAGCTTTACTTATAAGTATCAGAACCGAAGGGGGAAATACATGAGCCATGAATAGTGTCCCATCTCAGTAATCTTTGGTCCCACCTCTCCACCAATGGCCCAGGCAAAAATAACAGTCTCGCAGGTGAGGAAGGCATCGGGCATGTTAGGGTGGTAGCACTCGTGGCCATAGTCCAGGACACTGTCGTTAAAGCTGCTGCTGCACTGATAGAGCAGGATGTGGTGGACCAGACTCTCGTGGCCTCTCTGTATCAGCGGCTCGACCTGAACAAAGCACAGACGAGAGGAAGGGGGCCATGAGTCAAACCCCCGTAAATCCCCAGTGCTAGGCAGGAAACTAGCAGAAACGATGATCAGTTTTTCAAGGGAATCCTCCTCTCAACTATGCCAAGGTTATGATGTGGTTCAAAACTAATTTGTTCTGGAGAAGATAACAAGGATAATGATGGTGACGCCGGCAATGGCTAAGGTGAGGTAACCCATGGGGCACCTGGGTGGCTCAGTGGGCTGAGCGTCCAGCCTTTGGTTTCAGCTCAGGTCATGATCTCAGGGTCCTGAGATAGAGCCTCACCTCATGCTGGGCTCCAAGTTCACTGGGGAGTCGCTGGAGGTTCTTTCCCTCTGACCCTCCCCTGACTCACAGGCTCTATCTCTCTCAAATACATAAGTAAGTAAATCTTAGGGGGGAAAAAAAAGATGAGATAACTCTTTCCTCCAGGAATCATAGGATTTACTGATCTGTTTGGGTTTTGAACTCACTTTCGTTTTCCTTAACATTCTGTGTGGCAGCTGTTTCAAAACATGCTTTCTTCCAGGCTACTTTGCCCTTGGGCCCCTTCCCTCTTTTTTCTTTTCTTTTCTTTTCTTTTCTTTTCTTTTCTTTTCCTTTCTTTTTTTTTCCTTTCTTTTTTTTTCCTTTCTTTCTTTTTCTTTCCTTCCTTCCTTCCCTCTTTCTGAGTCACAATGAGTCACACTGTGGCTAACCACATTTAAAAAAAATCAAGATTGTAAATAGACATAAACTTTCTCAGTCTCTCTTCCACCTCAAAATATTACCTTTATTGATCTTTATTGATGGTGACAGATGATGTGTCATTCGTCTATTATCTAGCCAGCTAGCTAGTTAGCTATATCATCTTTCCATTATCAACCTATCGATCTATCATTTATATTTCTATCTGGTGCTAAGCATAGTGCTAGACACAAAGCAGGGCTCAATAATGGATAGTTTTATTTTAGTGATTAAAATAAAATTCTTACTATGAGTATCTGGGAGAGAAAACAACATCGTAGTAATGTGCTCCTGTGACATCACTCAAATTAGGAGAGGAAGTAGAAACCAGTGAACAGAGAAGGAGAGGTCAAGTTGGTTCTAATACTGACATCCCAGTGCATGAGAGCATGTTCCTTCTGTGGTCCCTCCTGTGAGTTCTCTTAATACCACCTGCCCACCTTCCTCAGTCCAGGAACTCGGAAAGAGCTAAGCGCATCTGCAGGTCCCCAAGTGCCGTGCCTACAGGAAGTTGCCTGCAGTAACTTACCTGTGGCTAAGTTACTTAGTTGTACTAAGTACAGGGTTCCAGGGTTCAGGGTTCATTGAACACTCCATACATCTGCTAAAGAAGCCCTAGTGTGTCCCTAAATTTCCAAGGCTTTACCTGCCTTAGAGCTCAACACCTTCACCCTTACCCTAACCATTCAAATGCAGGCAATGCATTTTGAAACCCTTGCTTGTTCCCTGCTTTAGACATGCATATAAAGATAGTGTTTTTAGCTATTCTGTCTCCTAAGGCTTTCCATTTTGATTTTCTACATAGTTTTTTTTTTCTTTCTTTCTTTTTTTTTTTTTTTTCAATCAGAAAATCAAAGCACCCACACAGGGAAACGGTATGTAGTAGGCAGAGATCTGAGTAGGCAGCTGGAGGTCCCACTTTTTCAACCCAGCTTGCCTCTGTGTTGCATTGTGAGTCACACTGCGGCTAACCCCCACACACGCATCTTTAACATCACATTCACAGAAATGACATTGCACATGGCTTTGTTTGCACTTGTTTCGCCTCTAAAGGACCGCGCACCCTGGAGGCAGAAACTATTTTCTATTTTGTTTGAAAATGACAGTTATTGTTCAAGCATGGTTGCATAATACAGGACGCAAACGGGTAGCCTAGGACTGCGATTAGATTTCAGCCCCCACATCTGGTTTGAGTTTTCTCCTGAGACTTCAGTGGGCACCTCGAGCTCCAAGGGAGATGCGGCCCTGCGAGCAAGTCCACAGAAAAAGAGGCACAGGAGACATTTTCTCGAAGTGCCTTATGGTTCAGGCAGAACCTGTAGGTTGTGCTTAGCTCCACAAGGTTGGTCCCAGGAGGGAGCCAGGAGGACAAACGAAGGTTGGTATTGCTGAGGCAGCTACAGAAACAAATGGACTTCATCAAGGCACAGCGAGAGAGAGAGAGAGAGAGAGAGAGTGTTAAGAGTGTGCGTGTAGAATTTATTAAGCTTTTAAGCAGCTTCATGTCAATTTCTTAAAAGAAACTTTTAGAAACAAGTACTTTATTTTATTTATTTATTTTTTTAATACAATGAGTGCCGAAAACAACAGCAAGCTTCTAAGCTACTAGTGCATTCTAGGAATAATAATAGTAACATCCGTATGTTATTTAACACCTACTCTACTATCTGCCAGTCACTGGATTTGTCATTTCATTTAATATTGACAGCAACCTATTAGGTTACTGTTACTGACTCCATTTTACAGATGAGAAAACTGAGACTCAGAGGATTAGGCAACAAGCCCAAAGTACCAAGGCAGGAAAGAGTAGATGGAGATTTGAGACAAGGCTGGTCTGACCCCAAAGTCAGTACTCTCCTAGCTGCAACACATCATTGCTGGAGATGCGTCCGGCTCTGGAAGCTGCTCCCAGTGAGAGGGAAGGGGAAGACTGGAAGCCTTACATCTTGTGGGAAGGCAGTCTCCTGCCCTCCTTGCCACCCCAGTTCAAGCGTCCCGTGACCCTTAGGGAGACGAGACAGGTGGTGGCCTTTGGATATGTTGTTTCCTAAGGAAAGCTTTCCTTAGGAAGGTCTCTCTTCAAAACCCGAGGTCTTCAAAGAGAATTAATTTGTAATTTGACCTCCAGATTACAAACCGAGGGGACAGCCTGAAAGTTTTTCCCAAGAAAAAAATACATTCATAAGAGAACAAGGAAACTTTCTGCATGCAAATCTGAGCACTGTTCATAGGAGAAAGTATGAAGGCTTAGAAGAAGCAAAGCTCTTGGCAAAACAGAAAGGATGTGAGACGGAAGTTCAAACAAAGAGAAGTGAGGATAACTACTAAACGAAGACGCCACTAATATCAGAGGAAAAAAGCAGGTTATCAAACCACTGAAGAACAGAAGAATTTCTGGAGAAGGAATTTTAAGATGACCGTGTGGAATAGTTCATTGAGACCCCGAGGATATTCCCCATGGGCAGTCGTAGCCTGTTTAGTGCAGGGGACAAGCTCCAGGGAATGAGAGCGTCTTGACCAGAGTGGGGCTGGCTCTCTCTAGGTGCTCCGCACAGAGCAGAATTGCCCACAAATCTTCCTGCCACACCTCCAGAGCACAGTGATGCCAGTGCCCTGCTCCCAATCCCAGAAAAGACAGCTGCACATTATCCGCTGCTTCCTCAACCAGCTCCACAAACCTGCTGTGTCATCCTTCCTTAGCCCAAACAAGGCTGGGGCCCCAGACCTGGGAGCGCCCTGTGCAGATGGAGAGAACGCTGCTCCATGATACAGCCTTCAGGTAGGTGGAATGCAAGCTTAAACACTACTCTTTCTTGTGTATTTGGGAATTGTCTGTGCAAGAAAGACTACTGCTTCTGCATCATTGCATCATTTGAAATAATCGTTTAATTTTTACATTAAAAATATTTCTGAGACAAAAAGGCTGTAGGGAATCATTGCTTCTAAGGGACAGCGCTTAAACAGGGAGACTTACTTTGGTTACTTCAAAGACGTCACAGTATCATAACAATATCAATGGAAATGCCAAAAGTTGCTTCTATTAAAAAAAATATTAAACTTACAAAAATTGTCAAAGAAGTTCAGGGCAACGTTAGGTATACAGATGTGGATAAATGAGTATTTCTGAGACTCGGACAAACATTTAATTTTATTTTTGTTTTAGGATGGCTGTATGATTGCAGAAGAAAAAAATTAAAAGGAATAGAAAATGCCTACGGAAGTGGGACACAGTGACACCAATACCTGATGACAGAGTTCTTGATTCCTGTGTTCTTGTACGCAGGGGTGACTTATGGACCAGAACAGATGGAAATTCCCTACACCCATCTTCACATGCATTAGAGGCCCAGCAAGGATGGCCTGGCACCTGTGGGTTATCTTTAGCCCCCATGCAGAGCAAAAGAACAGTCTAGAAAAGAAATCACAGATGGAATAGGGATGAGAGGGAAGCCTTCAACCTGAAGGACATTTTTTTTTTTTAAATATTGTATTTATTTATTTGAGAGAAAGAGAGAGCAGGAGAAGGTGGAGGGTCAGAGGGAGAAGCAGACTCCCCGCTGAGCAGGGAGCCTGATGCGGAACTCGATCCCAGGACTCCAAGATCATGACCTGAGCCGAAGGCAGTCACTTAACCAACTGAGCCACCTAGGCACCCAACCTGAAGGACTTTTAAGAGTAAAACTGTCTCCAGTTAGTTCAAGTAACTGAAACTCTGGGGTGCTCTTGAGAGGACTTAGCAGGAAAAGAGAAAACAAGAAAAAAGAGAAATACTAAGCATAGCCAAGAACAATGTGGAAATTAACACTGTAAAACTGAACCTGAGAACTGAGAAGCCCCAAATATTACACTGTTCTCATGACCCTGTCATCTTCTCTTACCCTCTTTATCCAGGTCGATATGTCTAGCATAATCCCTGCCACACAGAGACTGCTTAATAACTATTTATTGAATGGAAATGAAGCCTTTCCATCAGCAAGACTGAGTCATCAAATTTATTGCCTCCTAATTTCTTGATTGTCTCAATGCCAGTGACCTATCCTGCATCCCCGCATCCTACCTCAGCAACCGAATCCTCCTGTCCCACCCTGAGCTTATAACCACCCAGGACTGTCCTCCCTCGAAAACTCTTTCTGTCCCTCTTTCCTGCTGTTGGTTCTTTCACACCTCTCCAGTCTCTAACCTACCACTTCTTCTCAGGAGGCTCCTTGAAAGTCCTTGCGCACCAGCCCCTTACAAGTAACACGGACACAAC